GGTATGAGATCTCGGCGGGCCTGGAGCTCGGCAATCTGGGCCTCAACCTGCGCAAGCTCTTCATTTTCTCGTTGGACGACGAGATCATTTTCTTTCAGCCGAACCATTGCAGGTTGAACTTGTTCTTTAATCACCTCCAGATCTTGCTCGAGCGAGCTCCCCTCAACCATCCGCATGACGGCTTCAGAATACTGGGCGATCATCTCCTCGCCTTCTGCCAGGCGGGCTTGCAGTTCATCCAGTTGAGCCGAGTCGAGCAGACCGAGCGCCATGGCCGTATCCAAGCAGGACCTAAACTCCGAAATCGCCCCAGCAGCGGTCATCTGCCGAACATCAAGGAGAAGGAACTCCCAGAGCCATTCGATAACGGTCTTGGAATCCTCGTCCAAGGGAGCCGAGGTCGAGCTTCCCCCTTCCTCATGGAGGCTGGCGTATAACTCGTCAAGGTCGTCGGAGGAGGTGGCTTCCTGAACATAAGAGGGAGTAAGGGTAAGAGATAATTGACTGAGACACAAAGGAATAAACAAACAGGGGGAGGTCGAATACTCACGGGGAGCGAAAGGTCGGTCATGACCGCCGAAGTAGTCCGCAGGAGACTCGGCACACTCACGACCGTGGCTCTAGTCATCACCGACTCGGCCACGACCATCGAGTCTTGGAACGACGGCATAGGAGGCATGGTCGCGGCAACCATGGCCAGCGGCGGCGACAATTGGGGAGGCTAGAGACAAACAAATCCGGTCAGAAGCGTAGAGACAGGTCAGAAGAGAACGACAAAGCCAAGTATTTTGAAGGCGGATTCTTACCGAGCGAAAGGAGATATCGCTTGGGCGACAAGGGGCGGACATCAAAGGCCCACTTGGCACGTCCACGGCAGGCTCGTCGGCGGCCTCGTCGGTTACTTCCTCAGCGGCTTCTTCATGGGCCTCCTCGCCGTCCTCGTCGGCGGCCTCTTCGGTAACTCCCTCAGCGGCCTCTTTGGCGACTTTTTCGGCGATCTCTTCGGTCACTCCCTCCGCGGCCTCCTCGGCAGGCGGCACCTCTGCGATCGCAATCTCAGCATCCAGCGCCTCGGCCACTTCCTCGGCAGTAGCCGCCTCTTCAGCCGTCGTCTCTGCGGCTCCCGCCTCCTCGACCACCATGTGGGCAGCGGCCGCCTTCTTTACGAACGACACCTCGACCATAGCCTCTTCCTAGACTATCACCACGTCCTAAGGAAGGAACCAGATTACCAGGATGCACACAAAAAAAGAGAAAGGACGCCAGGGAGTAATACTTACAATCACAGGGGGGGCCTCACTCACAGTCGTGGGAGGGGCCTCCTCTTCACCTCTGCCCTCCGAGGAGGTAAAAAGGGTCCTCTTCCTCGGCCGCTGCACGGCCGCCATCTCGGCCGCGGCACTCTGGGCCGGCGCGGCCTCGGTACCCGCCGTCTCTCGACTCCTCTTGCGACCCGGGGCTGCGTATACAGGGAAAAGGGACAAGAGTGAGATGACCAAAGACAGAAGTGGTTTAGAGAGGCCAATGAAGAATAAATAATAAAAAGGAAAAGAAGCAAGGCCTACCAGCAGCAGTGGACGGTCGAGACGTTGGGGAGGCCGGCACGGTCCTATGCGCTAGCGTCTTGCGACCCCCCACCAGGATTAAAAGCACAAGTTTAACTCAAAAACATAACCAAATCATAAGCTAGAAGGGTAAGAAATAATATACAATTATGAACCGATCAGTGATCTCAGCCACACCGTGATGCTGGGAGACGTCGGCCCTCCAGGACGATAGCCGGTTGGTTGACAGGGGGAGTGGGGCCGTTTGTATTAGGCCGAACTACCGTGCCACGAAGTTCGGCAAATACACCTCGGCCCCGGCCTTGGACAGGCCGCAATGGAGGTCGCGCGAAACCAGGAAGGAGCCCCAAATCTCCTTCAGATCATTCTCCGTCTCAACATCAGGGATGACGGAGAGGTCGTGGGTCAGGAACAGAGGGAACGGCGGGGCAAGGCAGACTCAGAACTGCGTGCTAGTTCTCTCGGCCAAGCCGTAGAAGAATTTATAGCAGAAGGCCGTGGCGTTATGCTTCTTGGGGGCTCGAGCAAAAGCGTTGGCCAGCGGCTCGTTGTCTTGGGGAGCGGCCACCCCCCTCAGCTCTGGGAAGTAGGCCTGCAGCCAGAACTGGAAGGCCCACAGTGGACCACCGTGCTTCGGCTTCATCCCATCGGTAACGATGTCATGAAGCGTGCGGTAAATGTGGCCGAGCAGAAACGGGCCGAGTGCCAACCTACCGCCCTGCGCTAGGTAATCGGCCAGATGGGCGAACTCCAAGGTGACTTTGTTCACCTGGGTGCAAAACACAAACTTGCACAACCAGTACAGCAGGAACGCGGCGTGCTCAACCTCGCCGAGAGGGTTAATGACATCATCTTCAGCGCTGTCCACATGGCCTTAAAGCTCCCTTCCACCTCGGGAGCAACAAGGGCGGCGTTTACTTCCACGCCAAGGGGGGATAGGCCGAACAAGGCGGCCATATCTAGGACGGTCGGCGTCATCATGCCGAACCGGAAGTTCATGGTATTGGTGGCCGACAACCAGAAGCACAGGGCCGCGGCCAAGAGCGACCGATCCATGACGAGCGGCCGATCGAATAGCTTGATCAAGTGGTAGATGCCTTGATCCTTCCATTGTTGACCGAAGAAATGCTCCATCCTCGGCAGCCATTTTTCCCAATCTGGGGTCACGGTTGGCCACTACTGCTGCGGCCTGAGGACATTCCAGTCCTGGAAGTCCCCCCCGTCAAAGGCTGAGTGATCCACTAGGTTGTTCTTCAGATGGGCCACAAGCCTCTCTGGCATTCCGCCATTAATGGAGGGGCCGAGAACGCAGGAATCGGTGGGGGCGCCATCGTCATCAACCCAGGGCGTAATGATATAAGGGAGGATCGAGCCCTGAATATCTCGGTAAATAGCCTTGAATTCAGTTTGGAAGGTTTGGGACCGAACTTCAACAGATGCGGGGGTACTGGAGGCCATTAGAGCAGGTTTAAGATGAGTGTTTAAGGAGGAAAAGCTTAGAAAGCAGGGACAAAATCTGTAGGGTCTGGAAAGTCACGAGTTCAGGAGGAGCTCTCTGGTAACCTTGGAGGTTCGAAGATTTTTGTGGGTTTTGAAGGTTAGGAGAAAAGGGTTTTTCATGAAGGTTAGGAGAAAAGGGTTTTTGACAAAGCTTGGGCGTCTGAGAATTCTGGAAGCGTAAGGAGAAAGCAAGGGAGTCTAAGTTTTTATATTGGCGCTAGAATTCGAAACGAAAGGGTGTGTCTCTCTCGAGAGACGTAACGTTCTGTT